ATGGATAATGGAAATAGAATTTTGATTCAAAGTTAGAGTATTTTGAGAAATAAAATTTGAATACAAATTATTTTCTAAAATATTTACATTTTGACATTATTTTGTTCATTATATGTTTATACCAACTAGTTTATTTTTGATTTCGTATTCATTCACAATTTTGAATAACCAAAATACAGGTTTGTATTTAGATTATCACTTTGTAAAAATAAATTTGACTACAAACTACAGAACATTCAAAATATTTTCAAATACTTTTGTAAAAGAACTCAGTACCTAAATGCTAATGTGAATTCTACTAAATTTGAAATATAAAAACAAATCAACAAAAAATATTTTAAATATTAAAAATCTGAAATACATAAATATTTGATAAGTAAGTTAACAAACTCAATTCATTAGCTTCTTATTTTATTTTTTGAACTTTTGCTATAAGATTTAAGCTCTTGTATACTAGCTACTTCTTAATTTTCCCAACAAATATTAACAAACATATGCTACAATGCAGGTACACTAGGCATGTGCACAAATATATATACCAAAAAAAAGTTATCCCTAGTTTGGTTTGTGTCAGGGGTGACAAAATTGACCCAAACACATCATCCATCCCATCTATTCGAAGTTTAATGAATTTGGGCAAAAGTGATCTCCATGTATTTGAGTTACGCCCAAGTTAATTCATCACAAATCAGATTTTTGTATTTTTGAATATATTTCGGTATATGTATTTTTGAATATGTAAGGTTAAAAATAATGTGTAATTTGTTCTATATATACTGTATTCAAGTGAATTCACGTGTACATGAGATATATAGACAAATCTCGCTCGTCTCCATTCCATCTCGCTCACCACTCTCCTATTTATTGATATTCCAGATATATGTGAATCACACCAGATACATACAATGTATGCATCTCTTGTATCTAATATGATTTGCATGTATATGAGATACATGACTATCTCTCTCCCCATCTCTCTCACCTCTATTCGTACTTTAGTATATATTGTATCAAAAAATATTTATTTAAATGTATTTTCCTCAATATATGATAGAGAACTCTTAATTAGTGATAAAATCCATAATTATTTGAAAGTATAAATAAAATCATTATATACCATACAGATGTAAAATCGTTATATACCATACAGATGTACATATGACTAATTTAATAAGATAGTTTTCCAAGATAAATACCCTTTTAAACAATAAATTATTAAATATCAAATATAGATTATCTTTCTTTTTCCTAATGTTGATTTAACTAACTTAAGTATTAAGAGTAATTGTTGATTGATTCAATTCATTTATATTTTCTACCAGAGCAGAATATATATTTTTTTTCATTTTAAAAAAAATGGTATAAACTTTATGTATTATGTTAGCAGATATAAAATCAATATTTGAAATTTAAAAGTTTAAAATTTTAATTTTTATAATTTAAAAAAAAATATAAAAATTAAAATTAATAAATCGATCAAGCCACAACCAATATTACCTTCTAAAAAGAAGTTGTACATAGTGTGGTTACTCACACTGTCGTAAGTCAGGGTGTAGTGACATGTAACTGCACGTAATTAACAAAGTCAATTGGAAGTTTTGACAAAATAATGGATAAGTTCTTTTGAATATTTATCGATGAATAAATCAATATGTTTTAATGTGACAAGATATATATATATATTATAATTTTTTTTTCATAAGCTATATAGCTCGAATTCATTATGCAGATATCTACAATCTTTAATAATATATCTCAAAAGATAAGAGTCGCAAGTCTTCATCGGCGATAAGCTTAGCTACAAGTACAGTTTATTTTCATTTTCGATTCTTTATAACCAAACCTTTTTTAATACTCCATATAATTGATTGGTTAAGGGTAGATTGGGAAATTGGCAAAGAAAGAAAAATATCTCTAAGGGACTTTGAAAAGTCAGTTTTTTAATAAAATGAAACAAGTCACATTGTTGATATATAATGGACGAAGTAGTCGTTATGAGGGCGGTGAACATCAATTATACAATTTGATTATTGGTGAAAGTAATTTGCATGGATTTTACTCAATCCCATATGACTTGTTTTGATCATCTCTAAAGATCCATTCATGTCCGTACAAACATATAAATCCCAACTCTAATATTTTCTTTAAATTCTGTGCATGTGAAAATATCATACCCCCATCCCTCTTTATAATCATTTCATATGAAAGAAAATATTGTCTTAAAAGATTATGAAATTGTGTTACTTATTTTCTTCTATTTGATAAATTAATAAATATATTATCCTAAAATATTTTTGTTTCTTTTTTTTTTATGGGCCAAACAAGTGAAAATTTCTTTTGATTTGAGCGGTGATGGATTCAATCTCACAACCTCTGCTTGCTCTGTTACCATGTTGAAGTGTATGACCATCTTATTTAAAAACCTAACCCGTTAGAAAGAGCATACTTTTATTATTTGATTATATTCTCAACAGTTTCTAAAAATAAAAAGGGAGATGGTTATTTTTTTTCGGGGGGGGGGGGGAGGGAGGAGGGGGGGTACGGGAGGGGATAAGTGGTGGGGTGAGTTTGTGGTGATGGTGGTGGTGGCGTGTGTGTGGGCAAGTGGTGTGTGTGGGGGCAAGGGAAGCGCATGATAATGGCGAAATAAAAAATTTCGTTAAGAATGTTTAATTTTTTGATTTATATATTTCATACAATTTTCTATATACGTAATATAATTTTTTAATGAATAATGACTCACTCCTGGATAGGATAAATGATCAGCGTGAGGTTTGGAGTGGGTTGGGAGGGATGACGATGGGACACTTGGGGTGTGCGGGGATTATGGGGGGGGGGGGGGAGACGATCAATATAATATATCATTTATTGAAAAGAAGAAATTAGTCAAAATATGTACCAAAAACACCTTAAATCTTTCATTCTAATAGAGCCCACCATGAATAAAAATAAGTTCAGAAAATGTCTAAATCTTGCCCATCTTTTAACTGTATGTATGCACTATGCATGTATGATGTATATACATGAGAAAGAAACAATATACTTGCAACTTGCATATAGTATTTACTTTGGCTATAAATTGAAGTTAGATATAAAAATTATTTATATATTTTGCCAGAAAATGTATAAATCATTTTTCTAAGTGATATAGGGTAATGCAAATTTTATGCAAGCATTAACTAAGACTTTTTTAGATTTTGGTCCTATACATTGAATTTTTTCTTGGGAGGATATGTCACGTGATCTCTTGGGCTATTGAAATGACGTTTATTACCATATTTTCTATATTTTAAATAATGTTCTTTTAATTTGATAATTAACTTAACTACGATTTTAGTTGAAACGTACTCTAGATATTTACATGTTGAAGACTAAACATAAATTTAGTTAGAAAAGTAAAGACTTTTTTTGGTCCAAAGTTTGAAAAGTAATTGAAATTGCCCTTAGGCCTTAGCCCAACATTAGAAAAGGTGGATTCCACATAGTTAGGCGCCCGGTTGAAGTTATGACATGATATTGGGTCATTTAAATAAATATTTATTTTCGGATCCATCTTTAAATTTTGTTCATAAATATAATATTTTATTTTATATTTTAATATTTTAAATACAATAATTTTCGCTTTCAGTATAATTAGCTATGCAATACTGTATAACTCCATTCTTACAAAATTCACGTGGTAAGAGATAAAAGTTCAGTTTCAAAACTATGCAAGTTATATCACATAACTTAATGTTACATAACTTATGTAGTAGGAGGCAAAAATTTTAGTTTCAATATTGACACCTTATGCGGTTAGAGGTATAACTTAATTCATACGGCGTCGTAAAAAGCAAAAATTTAATTTTAGAAAATATATCAATAGAGGTATAATTTAATTCTTACAAAATTAATGTCGTAAGAGACAAAAACTCTCTACACTTGTGCCTAGCGAATTAGGTCATAGAAACATACAAACATTAAGCAACTTATGTCACATAACTTAATTACTATCAAACTTATTCCGATTAAAACAAAAGTTCTCTAAACCTATACTGAATGAATTAGTTCTAGAGATACTTTGTTTCACAAAATTTCATTAAATGAGTTACAAAAACAAAATTAAAGACCATAATATTTGAAGACAAAAAATTAAATATCACCGCAAATAGGAGTGCAAACACATCATTCTATCTTTAGGGAAAATTGTATATAATAGCAAACTAATAACCTAAATTAAATGGAATAGCTACGGTTTGATTTAATTGTGTTCCATAGCAAACATTAGCGAAAATTTGCCAGCGTCTCTCTCCAAAAAATCTCGCTCGCCACTCTCCATTCTTGCTCGCCTCTCTCACGTTATACACAGAAGTGTATAATTCTGTTTTGTTTTGTATAAAGCGAGAGAAAATTGTATATACACATGCAAAAATGTATATCTTCGTGTTATACACTTAATTATACAATTTACAAACATTTTACTTCAAATATTGTAGAGAAAAAGGCCAACGAATTATACAATTGTGAATTATACAATTGCAGTGAAATACAATTTTCTCTAGCTTTATACAACAGAAGTGTATATATTGTGTTTCTGTTTTTGTATAAAGCGAGAAAAACATATATCTTCTTGCTATACACTTATAATTATGCAATATACATACATTTTAATTCGATTCAACTGTATGCAAAACAAATTATACAATTGCAGCGAAATAGGCCAGCGAATTATACAATTTAGGCTAGCAAATTATACAATTGTATATGTATAGCAAATTATACAGTTTTATGTTTGCTATAGAGCGCAATTATGCAAAGTTTGATATAGCATACAAATATGAATATTTTGTTTGCTATATGTGAAAGTTGCCCATATCTTTATTGAAGTCCATCATAAAGGTTTATTTAGTTTCTTATATTTGGGCCGTGATTTATTAATGGGCCGAATGATTCTAATTGCAAAGGGCCACCAATAGAAGCTCATCGCTTCAAAAACCATTTCGAAACGGCGGGAAATGCACTAGTGCAGTTTCCTCTTTCGCGCGAAACGAATTGAATCTGAGCACACAATTTATATCTTATATAAATAACAAATAATTGTTCTAAATCTACAGAGAGGTTTACTTCAGTCGAACACTACAGCCAGTATTCATCTCATCGGAAGTTCAAAATGCCGACAATCGTCGACCGTCGTTCAACACGTGTCTCCGGTGGGAGTAAAGTCGCCGATCCAATCGCCAGTGAGATTGAATCCACTCCTCAAAAACGCAAACTCAGATCCAGTTCCAGTTCCACTACTGAAGACAGTAGAATAACTTCAGATTTAACTCCATCGCCCTTGAAAAGCTCTCCGAGCAAATGGAAGTCGCCCCGCCGATGTGTCAATGACAGCCCTAAGAGTACTCTAAATGTAACTCAACTTCTCAGACTATGTTATGGTTTCATTATAAGTTTAGCGGATTGGTGTTAATTGATCTTCTGTTTTTTTGTGGAATTAAGGCAAATCGCGGAGCTAAAGCAGTAAATCTGAGCAAATCACCTGTGAAAAGGAGATTATCGGAAAGTTTTCTAGAGAAGCCTATGTGGAATCCAAGAGGTTAGTTTGATTATTTGGTTTAATTAATTCCTCAATCGAGTCTGTTTACTGAATAGGTCAGTGTTTGCCCGGAGTTGTATTAATTTTTCTCTAGAGATCTGTGTATTCGTTTGAAAATGTCGAGAATCTCTAGCATTGAAATTGACAAATGTGTTGTTTGAATAAACTATCATTGTCCAATTGTAGCAGTATGGACATATTTATTCATATAACATATCTTGACTAGTATGGGGTATAGTTGTTATAGTTGTTCTTATTTCGTTAAAATCGATCTTAATTATGTTAAGTTGATAAGGATCTTCACATTATATCTAGTGTCATGCCGTTTTTAAATAAAGATGTGCTCTATGCCGTCTCTATCTGTAGATATGGAGCAGTTAAATGGAGTGAAAGAGGCATTGCATGTGTCTAGGGCTCCATCAAATCTGGTGTGTCGAGAAGTTGAGAACAATAGAATTCTGGAGTTCTGTAAGCAAGCAGTGGAACAAGAGAAGGCTGGAAGTTTGTATATCTGCGGCTGCCCAGGGACTGGAAAGTCTCTATCAATGGAGAAGGTTAACAAGGTCCTGGTTAATTGGGCAGAAGAGGTATAGCCTGTTGCTTGGTGTGTTTCGAAACTTGATTTGTTAGTTTGAGATGAATGCTTTTTAAGGAATGATGTGAATGCTTTAATGAACTGCATTTCCTTAGTCAAACAAGTTCATCCATCCACTGCATGAACTGTATTTCCATTTGCAGTGTTCTAAAGTTTGTAGTGCTATTGGCCTAAACTATGTAAAAGATGTTGTCAAATTACTAAGTAACACTTTATGTTGTAGTGAATTACTGACTAACATTAACAAATTACCGTGCTTCACTAGGATTGAGATATGTTAAATGAAAGGAATTGAGGCTTCAAATAAAAGTTTGCTATTGTAATGGCTACAGAACAGTTGAAATAATTTTACAAGGAAGAGGTAATTCATTCTGATTCCTGAGATTTAAGCTTGGAATGGATTTCATTTGACCATATAATATGCAAGTAATGCATTTTTGAGACTCTTATATTTTCTTTATTGTGATAATGTTATCTTAAATATTTTGAATGAATTACACTAGTTCTTATACTTTCGTTACTTCTGTTTTTCGTCTTCTTTGGACTGCTTTTCCTTGAGCCAAGTGTCTATTGGAAACTACCTCTCTACTTTTGAGGTTGGGGTAATGTTTGTGTGTACTCTAGGCCCACTTTGTCAAACTACATGGGGTAGGTTGTTGTAGAATTATAGGAGTTCATCTCTCAGATTAGTGATATATTTGTTGGTGAAATTTTTACTTTTTCCATTCCATCTACTTGTTTGATGATCTGAGGTTCTTCAAGGATAACTTTTCATGCTGTAACATGCAAAGCGTCCAGACTCAATCGTGTTTCTTTTGGTTATACACTTATACTATTAAAGTCCTCATGATAAAGGGCTCAGGGAAGTTTAAGAGCTATATCAATGCTTCAATTTGAGTTTGATTCTTCATCATGTGCAAGAATTGTTATAATATTTACTTACTGATATAGTGAGATTAAATAGCTTCATAGAGAGCATCTTCATATGAGAGCTCTGCAAGTGGTTAAAGGGTTTTCAAAAGATTTTCTTCATCAACAATGTTCCCAAGATGTATATCCAACTACTCTAAAAAAATTTAATCATCTCTTTTTTTTCGTCCATTGCAGTCTGGTTTTCAGGCTCCAGACACATTATCACTCAACTGCAGTTCTCTGTCAAACACATCTGATGTTTTTGGCAAGGTACATTGCTATTATACTGATTCGCTGCTAAATAACTCATTTCTGCATGCTTATGCTTTACTAACAATTGCAGATACTTGACAAAATTACACTACGGAGAAAGATAAATACTTGCACATCACCATTACAGTATCTTCAGAAAATGTTTTCTGAGAAGCAGCAGTCAGCAGTCACAAAGATGTTGTGAGTTTTCTTCTAGATGTTTTAATAATTTTTACAATTGTGCCTCCCTTTTTTTTTCTTTCAAGATTCCATGGTATTGATAGTGCTTTTTAGATTTTTTAATCAAACTATTTCTCTGCTTAATAATGTAATGCGTTGAACAGGTTAATAGTTGCTGATGAGTTGGATTACTTGATCACAAAAGACAGAGCTGTGCTTCATGAGCTGTTCATGCTAACAACACTCCCGTTCTCCAGATTTATTCTGATAGGTACTGGAGCTCTTGGACTGCAATCGTGAAGCTTTTTTGATCTAATTATTTTATGTTTTTCTAATATGACTAGTTATGATATTGTCGAAAGAAGCTATTATTCTGCAAATGATTGCTCCTAACTGGGACTCTGCTTTGACAGGAATTGCTAATGCAATAGACCTAGCAGATAAATTTCTTCCAAAACTACAATCCTTGAATTGTGAGTATTTTCCTTTCTGTAAGATTGTTTATTTCTAAGTCATATTCTATCTTCTTTGACTTTTTCTATTTTAGGCAGAGAGGTTAAACAGGTCTTAACTTGTGGATCTAAGTATTTAAGCTGTTAATAATTTATTTTCGCACCAAGCTTCTGAATGTTACCACAGAAGATATTTTAAAAAATGTTGAACCCTGCTTAATGACTGCACCACAGAGTTGTCCAAGTGTGTGGCAACACAAGCAATTGGATAGAGAATGTCAACTAGCTTAGGTTATGGGTTCTTTGATTTTCTGTAGTTTCATAAAACAAGGTTATGTGGTACAAAGCACCTATTTGCCATTTCACCTCTTAATGCAGCTCATGCTAGATTACTTATTGTATGTAGAATAGTATTTAATCTGACTTATACATTACTTTTCAGGCAAGCCTGCAGTTGTAACATTTCGTGCTTATTCTAAGGACCAGATCATCTCCATTCTTCAGCAAAGATTAAAGGTAACTCCATGGCTTCTACTCTCTTCTTCTTCCTGTGAGAAAAACGTGATAGTTCTACCAAATGGATATATTTATTTTTATTTATTTAATGCAAGTTGTCAGTATATTGTGAGTGGGTATGGGCTCAGGATATGAGGACAAGTTCAATGATTGGTGTCATAACTCATAAGCATCTAAAGTTTGAACTCAAGTGCTTCCAGTGATATGTTACTGATGCTTTGTTGTCGAATCAATTGATTCTAATGTAAGAACCTAGAAACCATTAGAAATTGCTCCACTTAATTTGCATACTACTACAGTAACTTAATCTGCTTCCTTTTTGTCTATAAGTTCAATTGAAAATGTGAAGACAGCTGCTGATATTTGCAGCCTTTTCTATGTATCTGCATAAAGCATGGTGCAAATCATTTCTTATGGTTAACAGAGTGACTAATAATTTGACTGCTGAACAGGCTTTTCCTTACACAATCTTCCAGCCTCAAGCATTGGAACTATGTGCACGGGTAGGTACATTAACATCTGGATTTTGCTTGGTTTTATTTCTGTACTTTCTATATATGCAGTAAGACTACACATTTGTCCACTGCTACTTCAGACTTCTGATCCAAGACTTATTTATTTCACAATCCACTGTTTCCTAATATAAGTGCTTCTAAAATGGCAGAAAGTTGCTTCTGCATCTGGAGATATGAGGAAGGCTCTATGGATATGCAGGTTTGTGAATATTCCTGCAACTTTATAATTTATTTTGAGGAGATGGCATTTAGTCATGGAGTTTATGACTGGTAGTGTGAGTTACTGGCGAAAAAAAGAAAGGCATAAGGAGATCAATCTTTCTTTTTTAATTCGCTGAAGTATTTTTAGCAGAAGTGATGCTTAAGTTCTCCATTGAACACTTGAGAGTATTAATCCTAGATCATGGATTTTTTAAGAGCTTGTTGTACAGCTTTCTCTTGATTATGAGTAAACTTTTTCCTTCATCATTGTTTCAGGAGTGCAATTGAGATGTTAGAATCTGACATAAGAGATTCTATCAATAGCCTAGATTTACCATCATTACATGGAGGAGTTTCTGATCAACAGAGGGATTGTGCTTGTGATAAATCACTTATACACGAGAGCAACGTTGTGAGTATTGATGTCATTTTCACTCGTTAATTTTTTGAGTTTGTAAACTAGCCATTCTGGAGGATCTATAGTTGAGAGGGTAGCTCTGATTTGTATAGCCAAGTCATAGTGTGATCCCAACTTCAGGATTTGCATAGGTTTCTTCTCATTGCTTCTTTTCCTCTGATTTCATATTATTAAATTTTCTGTAGATATTAATCAAATCTAGAATTTGAAATTATGGATTGAAGGGTAACTGAACAGCAGAATAGAGTCAGTGTTGAACTTCTGTTGCTTCACATTTGAGCTTGTTTGCTCCCTTGAGATATCAAATTCTACACTAATGCAGCCGAAGCTAAATATGGTGTAGAAGTATTTGAAAATTATAAACAACTACAATACTCAACCCATTGTTTGTATATGATAAAAACATACCAGCATTATTCCAGCTTGCAAACACACTGTTTTATATTCTCCTTATGAACCTGCTAGTAAAGGTCAGTACTAGTCTCAGTACCCTGCTTATTACTGAATTTTTCACCAACATACATGTGGGGTTTGGGGAGGGCTGTAGACAGACCTTACCCCAACCTTGTAGAGATAAAAAAGCTGTTATTGATAAACAACAATTACTAAATTTTTCCTTATTAATGAACCACCTTGTTCAGCAATCTGTATCTTTTATATTTTCTTGTCTCTTAATCTCCAGTAAGGTCTTTTGCTGTAATTTCATGAATTGTGTATCTTCATTTGCTTTTTTGCTTTACATAGCATGTTGTGTTTTCTTAAAAGTTGGAACCCCTTAACAGGTTAGGGTTGATCATGTGGCTATTGCTTTATCAAAGGCATATAGATCGCCAGTGGTGGATACTATACAATCACTTCCACAACATCAACAGGTAAATGTTCCCAATTTACTTAACATAAGAAGATATCTACTGTTCATTTGGTTTCATTTCCTCGTAAGTTTCTAGTTATAAGAGAATTCTTGACCCTCCACCAAAGAAGAAAGAAAAGGAGAAAATAGAAACCAATTAATGAATAAGGAAAGCTATTGGATTATGGTTGAAGTATCCAGATATTGATAGAAGTACTGAAAACACCTTTAAGTATCCAAATATTTGTGATGGCAGAATTGAATGCAAGAGCTATAATCAAAAGTAGAACCGAATGCGCTCAATGGTGGTGCCACTTCTTTATGATGTTCTTCTACATTAATGTTGTATGGCATTTAAAAATATCATGGTGGTGGTGAGTAATGCTTAGTATACTGCCATGCAGATTATTCTTTGCTCTGCTGTCAAGCTATTCAGGGGGAAGAAGAAGGATGCCACTATAGGCGAGGTAATTTCTATTTGTAACTATAATGGTGAGATCTAAGTAGGCATAAGAAACGAGTTTTGAAACAATTTGTAATCCATTGCAGCTGAACATCTCTTACCTTGATATCTGTAAATCAACTTCAATACCACCAGCAGGAATCATGGAGCTATCAAACATGTGTAGAGTGCTAGGAGACCAGGTAAAGTGTTAAATAAACTTAGATGTTGCTCCATTTCGGTCTACTTTTTCTCTTTCTCAATCATGAGTGATTTATTAAAGACTGGGAAGAAGTATAACTCAAGGTGTACATAAAAATGCAGGGTATCCTAAAACTGGGGAAGGCTAGGGAAGAAAAATTAAGTAGAGTAACTTTAAAGGTAGATGAAGCAGACATCACCTTTGCATTGCAGGTACGAGTTTGTCTTTGCTCTTTTTTCTGATCTTGCTTCTTGGAGACACCTGCTTATCACATAGTTTTATAATTTTCAAGGATTATGTAGTGATTGTACTAATATTTGACACTGATTTTGGATCAGGGAATACGCTTCTTTCGAAATTGCCTTCAACAATCTTGATGATTGACTTAAACAAGATTGTGATTCTCTATTATTTATTAAGTGGCTCAAATAAATTGCCAGTTTTTGGTCCAAACATGGAGGTACGTTTTTCCCCTTGTATTTCGGTTGATGCTGTGGAACGGGATATATGTTAACTCGTTTGTTGTGTGTGAAAACAGAAATCAAACTTGGTCATATATGACTTACGGATGAATGGAACAGAAACATATGGGTTCTCCACTAAATGTTGGAATTTCCATGTGGCTCCCTTATCATACTTTTAGTTCTCAAAGAGAAAAATACAGTATATTATAGGAAGAGACTATCAACTAAGAGAGTTGTGACGATATATAGTAATACAACGTTGAATGTCTTTCAATTTCAAGAATTTCTGGAAACAAATTTTGACATGTTAACTTTGTTGTATTATTACCGATGCTGATTCTCATCTTCAAGAATCAACGGGGAAAAAAAACTTCAACATATTATATTATTTTGCTGTTAATGAAAGAAATCAAATAAGGTGAAAAGTGAATAACTTTTATCCCCAAGTTTCTTTTATCTTTAGAAGTCCCAAACCCCTTTTGTACCCTAGGTTCCATGCTAAACTCTGCTTATGAATGTACCGCCTGTAAATAGGGGCGCTAAGGTGATATTTTTTTGAAGGAAGTGGTTCATCCATCTTCTGAGTTGTTAAAGAAGGGAAAAGGAGATTTATAGAGCCTCAAGTATAAAAGAACTGAACACTGCCATCACCCTAGCAAATATAAAGCATTCATTGGTCCTTCTGCATGACGAATTATTGCAGATCAGAAAAAAATGGTTCTCTTAATGATTTCCTATGAACCTGAAAAAGCAATATTTCACACTAATTCTCAACATATAAAGCTATGCAAATAATCATAGAGATGTCCAAATGCAACAACCAAAGTTAATAAGAGGAGCAAAAATACTCAAGGATAGCTCAAATTTAAAGTTAGAACCCCACTGAAACAAAAGGAACTAATATCTTCTTCAGTGCACAAAACATCTGAATGATAGCATACTAAGTGAAAATTGTTCAAAAGTATCCTAATAGAGACACCAAAAATAGCATTCATCATAACTAGTACCAAATCTTAGGACCTGATAGGTAACAAGCAAACAGGTTGATGATTAAACAACTCAATCAAACAATCCACCAACAAAGTCATCCTCATCCTCTTCTGGTTCTTCTTTCTTTTCCTCCTTAGCAGGAGCTGCTTTCCCTTTAGCAGAAGGAGCAGCTGCAACTGGAGCAGCAACAGCAAACTTGCTTGGATCCTGCAAGTTTAAGAATTTTGTCAAGATAATGTCAAGAAGAACAGGTTTATATTAGTTAGAGGTCTTTTGGAATTCACAGTTGGTGCAAACCTTCAAGTACTCTTTCACTTTTTCAGCTTGTGGGAATGAGTACTCTGTTGCAATGGCAAATGACAGAACATTCTTGTACGAGTTGATGAATATGTGTGGAATAGCAGCAAGAGTAGGGTAATTGAGAGTCATGGAGAGACCAACAACATTTGTCAGACCAGCAGCAAACCTAGCGACAAGATCATTATCTGTGAGTTCAAGAACCTCAGGACTGAAAACTGAGCCATTGTCGTAGACAGACTGGACTATCAGGCCATAAGAGAATGGCTTAATGAGCAACTTAGACAGAAGGGCAGACTCAGATGACCCCACTTTTTCACCCTTCTTAATAATCTCCACAGGGGTGATGATCTCAACTGTGCCTTTGTTGATTTTTGTTGGGATATTTAGTACCTAAAATACACCGGGATGTGAGATCATATATAATAAACAAAAGCATAAGCAGCTTAAGAAGCATATCTTGAAAGAACTAAACCTGAAAGAAACTGGTCTGGGAAGGATCAAGTCCAGTGTTGCCAGGAGGAACAACCACATCAATTGGAGCAACTAAGCCAACGCGAGCAGGTGCTCCAACCTTTTTCATTTAATGTTAAAGTTAGTATTCTCATACTTCACATCATAAACTCAAAATCAAAAAGTGAGGTTGATTTAGTATTTGAAAGCAAATAGTCGGTTTTTGTTCCAGAAGTTCATTTCAGGGACAAGTTGATTTAGTATAGTCTCTTTTACACATCCACTGATGATACAGCAAAGAGTTTTTTACCATCAAACCAAGAAGATAATTATATTGATATGTAAAGGAAGAAAAACGAAGAACAAAAAAGTAAGACATGAACATAGTTTACCTTGTACTTAGAAACTTCATCACTGACTTCTTTCAAATCTCCTTTGGTGAAGATTAGTCCCACATTACCCTGTTACGATATTACAAATGGGGTTAAGGCAAATGCCATTGTTGACCATTTAAATCAACTAAACATCAATCCCAAATAAGCTAGTTGAATTAATGATATAAATTTTCTATCTGTTTAGACTCAGTTTTTGTTCAACTATGACAAAGTCACAGACAATGCTGTTAATAGTACACCAAACTTGCCAAATTCCAGCTTAAGTCCCTTCACCCCTTACCTCTTAGGGAAAAAAATAGTACCTATTTCTTTGGTCCCAAGCAACCAAAATACAGTAACAGTGATTGAAAAAGGAATGGGAGAAAAAATGGATCACCATTCTGACATATAAGGATATCCCAGAATCATTAACCAGATATTAATCTCAAAACTCAAAAAAGGAAATAAATACTACATTTTAATAATTTTCTAGCGTGACTTTGAACATCCATTTCCATTTTCCAATAATATTTTTGATTTTAAAGAGATTACAGTACATAACTAGATATATTTAACAAAAAATAGCTAACACAAGCAATCAACAAAACAAAATACTAAAACCTCAAAAATAGAGGAGCTCCAAAAAAAAAAAGGAAATAATGAAAGCTTCTAGTGTGATTTTGAACCTACATTTCCAATTTTTTTGAAGATGAATAAGCTTTAATACATATTATACAAAAGAAAAATAAAACAGTGAAGACCAGAAATATAACCTAACAAATCAGTAATGCTATGATATAGTAATATGATCGAAAATGAAGAAATATGAGCAGCAATATAATAGTATAATGAAGAAGAAATGTAAAAAACAAACCACGAGGCATTCAATGAGAGCGAGAAACGCATTATTTCCAGTCTTCTCTGCATGGATCCTGATAGATCTCTTCATCATCGTGTTTTTTCCCATCAAAACAATGGAGTCACCACGTAATCCCTTTCGAATCATCTGTAACTGATTTGAACCCACATTATCTGCTCCTACAATCAGGATCTGTTGATACGTATCGAGAAGCTTGCATAGCTTCTTGTCGTAGTTAACCTTCTTCTCAGCTTTTGTTACCTTCACCGCCATTGCTTCTGGTTTTTTTTGCGAAGAAAAAGAGAGAGCTAAGAAAAATGGTGAGAGAAGAGTGAAAAATGTGAGCCCTAAAGCTCAATATATATGGAAAAGGTGGTCAGGTTTTGCAGGGTGCAGGGAGACTAGTGCTTGTACGTAAACGGATATACGTTCACAGAAACAATTAGAAAAATTCCTAAATGAGGAACTAAAAGTTTTAAAATTTATAGTTTGATTGCAGTAATTAGTTTAATTTCTTTATTAGATTAAGCAATATTAAGTCACCTAAGTAATTAGTGCATAACATGCATTTTTTTTCCGCGTAAAGACCTAGTAAATTTTTAAAATTGATCCTAATTGCTTGGCTTGAACTCAATACTTATAATTAAGTAACAAAAGATATTTTATTAACCTATCAAATTAAGGTACACTATATAATACAATAGGTTAAAATATATTAATATTGTAAAAACAATGTATAGGAGATTATCGCTAATAATTTTTTGATGATCATTCATGAATGACGACGAAGTTAAATTTTTTAACAACAATAACGAGAAAGATGAGGATCGGGAGATTTTTCTGGTGACGTGGAGCCTTATATATGGCAGAGGTGGCTATGGTCTAATTTATTAAAATTTCATTAACTTTTATGTTTACATTAGTATTTTATATTAAAAAAATATTAAATTTAATTAAACATGCGGCTTAAAAATTATTTTAAAAATTACCCGAATTAGTTTAATTTTGAGTTTATATAAAAGTTACCAGTACTGGTTTGTCCTATTCATGTGCATTTTCAGTTGGCTACTCTTTCTTATTATAGTTGGAATAAACAAATCATGTGTATGAAATATAGGAAAGCAATTCCAAAACATCTTTAAGTTATTATCAATATTTTAAATTAATAAAATTGTTTAGGTCTTTCGCAACGTTTAAGAAAAGAAAATTAACTTATACTGATTCTTAGGTGAATACACATTAATTTTTAAATGAATACAAATTTCATGAAAAAATACAATTGCAGTGTCTAATATACAACAGATTACAAATTAGTTCATTAACCTGTAATTTCATTGAAATAAACTTAAATAAATACATCGTTTTAAAGATACGTTAACATATGAAAAGAAATACCTATATACATATACTTAGCTTATTCTAATATATCAAATAAGCTAGATATGGTTTAATACTTTTAAGTTCATTTTAGTTTGTATAATATATTCCAGTATTCAATTGTCATAATTTGCTTGACTTATACCTAAAGTAGAGAATTATGGCTTCTAATATAAAATAAAATGCCGTATATAATTGGGAATAATTCAAATTTATATTTTAGAGTTATACTTCCTATTTTGATTTGAAAAAGTATCCTTCCTCTCAAATCGAATAGCCTATATGCAATCAATAAGTGTTTTATTTGGTAGTGTTTTTTTAACAATTAACAGGTATTAGTATGTACTCACATAAATAATCCTTAATTTTTAATTAAAAAATACCTCCATATTTATAAGTCCTGTACAATTTGCAAAAGGACAAATTGCCAGCCGGCAAACCCAAAACTAAGCTAGTGTTTGGCCATAAAGTTTCAAATATTTTTGACAAATATTATTTAATTGAAAATTTGGGTGAAATTTCACCATGTGTTTGGCCATCGGATTTGGAAAATATATTTCGCCTTTTTAGAAAAATATGATTTATACCCATAAGTTTTAAAAACTATTAAAACTAACCATAAGTTGGTTTACAAGTCAATTGGATGTTCGTTACAACAATAACAAATAGTTTCTATCACACTAGAGCAATGTGGTAATTTGGAGCGAGTGCAACAAGTATGATTCCATACATTGTGAAGTAGACGAAGCACATGATTTTATTACCTTGAGTTAATTTTTCATCATTTTCATCGGCAATCATATCATTATTTAATATTCACTAAATATTTCATCACTATTTTGGTGTTCACATAAAATAATTATGTAATACAACACAAACAACTAATATAGAGGGTGTTTTTGTAAAAGATAAAAGTTTGAGGTAAATTTTTGAATTTTAAAAAAATCCCAAATAATGAGATTTGATCCAAATACAAAAAAAAACTTGTATTTGAAAATTTGGGATATTTGCCAAAAATATTTACTATGAACAAACATACAACTTACTTTCTTGATGATATACAAATAATATACTATTTACATGAATAAT